ATCAACGCTTTCTCAGGAAGTATGTTTGAATTTCTAGAGGTGTATAAGAAAACCACTGGTTTCGGGATCCTCTACAAGCTCGTTACATATTTTCAGTTCTACAGAAGACACTGGTTTAACCATTAACTTATCCACTTAAATCTCAACCAACACATATATACAGCTGTATAACAATAATAATGTTCCTAAATTATAATTTTCAATCAGTTTAGTCAGCACGAATAATGTGGGAAGTCATTCTCTTATTTTTGTGGAACGAATCGTGTTCGATCAAAAGATAAGATTGACAAAAATGATAATTTCTCTCCAGAAAAAGTACCGTGGGTGAGGGGGTACTCGCACGATTAGAATTTTCGGCTGGTCAAAGATATTTTATAAATTACCGAGATGCACAAAGGCAAAAAAAAATGATTTACAGTATGCCCCAGTGTATTGCAAATAGTAAAAAGTTAATTTTGACGGAAATGTATGGGCTAATCATCGAAATACGCAGTAGCGTATCGGCCAAGTAAAAGTTTCGTCTCTATCCAAGAAATAAGGCCGAGAGCTACTGTGTATCTATACACGACACAACTACTCCTTCCCCTACCTCCTAATCGTATTCAATCCATAAAATACAAACGCCACAAGTTACATTAAATCTGTGTACAGTTACATTATATAAATCGTCCTCAAACTTTTCATTGATATAAGTTTTCCCTCTTTTCGATTAATTTTGGCAAAAATAAGCCCATGGCAACGGGCTCATTTCAATACTTTCCCGATTTCTATTATCTTTCGGTTATATTGCAGTCACTAAGTTGGCAGCAGTCCGATCCAACCTAACCTGGGCCAAATTTGGCATTGAGATGTTGCCATCAGTGTATTCGAACCGTCGAATTGTAACAGGGAAACAGAGGAGAGTGTTTCATTTCTTCTCTCGGATTTTATGTTTTTTATTAGGTCCATAATTATAATTGTTTATTTTATGGTAACGAATATTAGCTTTACATTTTGTTGGAAAATTATATGCAGTTCTTGATTTATTTATGTGTGTAATGACACATGTGACTGAAGTCAATTTTGGAGGTTAATGGAAGTATGAATTTCGAGATTTCGAAATTGAAAAAAAAATTGATTCTGTCTAATACATACATAAATGTAGAAAGAAGTTTTTTAAATTGTTGAAACACATTGTGTATTATAAAAAAAATCATACAAATAATATACTTCAAATGAACTGAAGGCGTGGTGTGGGTGACAAAAATTTGGAAAACGTGAAAATAATTCTTTATTTATATTGAAAAAATCCGTGAAATCTCCCCAAATGACAAAAACTGGTGTTTTTGTAAAAAAAAAAAAACTGAGCCAAGTAAATATTTCGCTCAATTGATTCCGTAAAAAACTCGTGTTTTGCCAAAATATGGCGTTCCTTGAAATTAAAGAAACTCAGAAAATGTAAATGAAAACGCCAGGAAGAGTAATACGACTCGATTGAAGCGATTCAATAATGAAAATAAAAAAATCAGTAGAGGAACTTACTTGGCGCGGTTTCATTTACAGGATAATGCTAAAATGAAATTTGATTAATAATTAAAAGTGACCGAAGATAATTTTTGGCTCTAATTCTAGTTCTTGAGAAAAATCGCGCCAAGTACGTTGGTCCTGCCTCTATTGATTTTTTTATTTTCATTATTGAATCCTTTCAATCGAGTCGTATCACTTTTCTTGGCGTTTTCATTCACACTAGAGATGAATTCGATTCTATTATATATATATATATATATATGTTTATCGAATAAACCGACTTCAAAAAACGTCACATTGGATTTTTTTAAAGGGGTTTTCTGAGTTTTTTCAAATCTCTACACAGAAAGAAAAATGCCGGAAAAATTACCGATTTTTCACGTATTCCTGGGGTGATCTTGGTTTTCGGGGAAAAATACTGTAGGTTTCGTAAAAATTGTCGTAGTGCGAGTAGCAATTTTTACGAACCTTTCAGGACAATTTTACGGTACCTCCAGTACTTTTTCCCGAAAAGCAAAGTCACCCCACGAATACGTGAAAGTTCCGTAATTTTTCCGGTATTTTTCTCTCCGTGTAGGAACGCCATATTTTGGCAAAACACGAGTTTTTTACGAAATCAATTAAGTGAAACTTTTACTTGGCTCAGTTTTTTTTTTACAAAAACACCAGTTTTTTGTAATTTTAATTATTGATAAAAATAAACTAGTTAGTCGAAGATACAGTACTCGGATACTCAAATCCGCAGTACGTAGGTACTCGCACGGCCAAAGCTGGAGAAGTTGGACGGTGCAATACCTATGCTCCCATTACAAGTTGAAAGATTCTTTTAACATTTTTATTCAAATTTTTTATTTAAATCATTATATAATCAGCAGACTTCATATAATTTCATTTATTTTATACATTCGCATTTATGATATGCGTCTTGTTCGGGGATTTTTTGACGATCTCGATGGATTATCGATAATTTTTTTTTTCATCTTCCTAGCGATATTTGGCATCTCACCCACCCTAATAGAGTTACGGTAGCCATGATCGGCCATGAGTAAACGAATGAAATGTATTTGATTCTCGATAAAAAAAATTGCCGGTCATAACAATGGAATTTCGTATTTTAAATTGAAGAAAAAAAATAATAGATGAAACTTACAGATATTTGGAATTTCTCTACGTTGAGTGAGATTTTTTTTCCAATTCTATCGATCTATATAATATACAATATATATATATATATAATATACATCCAACGGTGTAGCCTCCTAACTTTGCTCCCATGAATGAACTCGTCAGAATAAAAATTTTTATTAATTTTTCTAGTTAGAAATAGCTAACTGTACTTTCGGAGGATGCTCTAATGAAGATGTAGGTGCTACTCAAGACGTTTCGACTGCGGAAATGGCAATTAATATGCAAAAAAGGGAGATAGTCATGGAACTAGAGGATTAGAACAGTATTCTTTGAAAAAAAGCATCACAATCCTTATCCTACCCTCACTAAGGTTTCTATTTAGTATTCCAGATGTTTTTTGGCTAAAGAAAAAAGTTATTCGTATTTCATATTTAATAGAGCCTTTATGTATGGCAACCTATGTTTAAAATATAAGTTCGTTCACTGGCGTTTTCATGATTTCCACTTTTCCTATTTTTTATCCTATTTTCTCAGGTGATACATTATAATTGAATATTTATTTTCTGAAAATAGAAAATTTACTTAATGGATTAAAATCAAATCAAATTGATGAAAACCAAATAAAAATGTAATTTTACTGATGGATCAGAGTAGGTGCATTGCTTGTTTGTTCATTCATTGGTACTGTGCCAATAAATAAATAAATAGATTGGTACTGTGTACTGTAAGTATGAACCATTGTCGAGTCAATGATCACTTTTTCTTCAAATCAACAAATAAACGGGGAATATTGTGCGTATAGTCCCGATAACAATAACGACACTGAGAGAAATATTCAATAAAAATTACGTGTATTTTCCGTAATTCTGGAGCGAGTGATTGTCGGAAATTTTACGGAACTGTCACGTAATTTTTATCTAAAGTCACGGAAATTTTCCGCGGTGTTCCGTCATTTTTATCTGAATTATCGGTGAAAAATAACGATACCGTCACTTACATTTTTCGACTCCGTACTCGGTAAGTGAACTAAAGTTCCGTAATTTTTACTAAATATTTCTCTCCGTGGAGAGATACCAAGCCTATTATCTGGAATCCGTATTATATGAAAAATAGTTGATGGAAAATTTTGTTTCATTCCGAGAAGTGGAAATTTTTGTTTGAAGCTAGATTGGGGTAGAATTCAGCAGCCGTTGGTGCAACCGGTCGATACGCAGAGACCAAACCTTGCCTGCGGCGTCGTCTGTCACACTCCATCCCAACCCAAAGCATTTTCTTGCGCCCGCGCGTCTGTACTCCGCCTAACACCATCTAAAAAAAAACCAAGAAAATAACCCCCTCACATCATCACAACATTATCGTACATACACACGTCCGTGTTGCTGACTGCTGCCCCACGTACTAAATGCAGAGCTTACCACTTTTTCTTTCTATTAACGCTTCTCTATGCTCTACCTACCTCGTTCGAGTACAAATATCGCCAACTATTTTGGCAATAGGACTGCGAAGAATGGGATAGAATGAGCCATTTAAAATTTAATTATTTTCTGTTTACCAGCGCCAGCCTTCTATAATCGTGCACCGAGACTGAGAAAAATGGAATATATATAGTTAATGTATATTTTGCAAATCTTATACTCAATCATGATCTCGATAATTATCATTTTTTCAAAAATATCTAAGTACATCTTTTACCTAACCTATTTTGTTCAAATACCGATTTTCCCGTTACCGTCTACCGTTCCGGTAGTTATATTGGAAAATGATCTGCAGTACATTATTGCGTGGTCGCATTGGTTTTTTTCATTCACAATTACTCACAAATCTTTCGTAATCTTTTGAATGAAAACAAAAATTATCTTTGCCAAGCGATTTCGCCACATACCATAAAAAACACTTCAAATGCAAATATATATGTACAGTTGCCTATACCGATAAAATTAATTTGAAGGTAAATTAATTGAGCAGAAAGTAATGCTTTTCATTTACCTATTTTTTATTTCTCATTATGACATCAAGAACTTCAAATTACGAATTGACAGTCTCGAAATGAAGGTTGGAAGTCTTAAATTGCCTATTCAGTATTTAAATGAGTGTTATATTACTGTGTCTCTACCATTTTTTATGTTTTTTTTTGCAGATTTCTTGACATAAAAAAATATACCATTCTCAAATTATATTATTATTTAATGATTACAAATTCTTTTTCTCTGTGTTTTAAAATATTTTCCTGAACTTTTGAGTACTCTAAAGAGAATTAATGGCTCAATACTCGGATATTTACCTTACTAAAGTGTAAATTAACTAAAATTTATATTTACCAAAATCGTATTGGTATAGTACAGAATTTTTCGCTTCCGATGTTTCAGTTGTTCTATTGGACACAACAACCGAGGAAATTTTGGACTGGACGAAATATCCTTACGGACCTCAAGCAACAACGCCTGGGGTAAGTTTTTCAATGAATTCCTTTTTTATTTCTGCATCATACTCCACGAATTGTCGCTTAACACACCGCGATAATAACATATATTTCCATTCGACATACCCTGGTAAGAATCGATGACGAGAATAGGGCTCATCAAGGCCTGAACGAGGGCTTGGAAATGCTCACTCAGAGCTAGAGTTCAGCCGTGGATCAAGCCTCAAATAATGATCTCGTTTCAGGCTGGATATGAAGGCCTGAGCAACCCGTCAGGAAAAAGGTTGATGGAGGCTTTAATTAACGAAAGTTTTTTTTTGTTACAAAATTCTTTCGTTATTTCGTTTTAAACGTGTTTGTGAGCTGTTACTCATAATTGTTGAAAAATAAAAGAAAAAAAATTGCTACCGCCAGGAATCGATCCATGGCATTTCTAATTTGTAATTCTGCGCCCTAGTCACTTGGTAGTTCGGTCAGCCATTGGAATATGATATTTCAGTCTGGCATACCAGAAACTAGAAGTGTAGGAATTTGTATTGTTATTTGCACAGTCAAGAATCATATATATGATACCCTTGTGGATAAATTTACTCAAAAACAATTAATTCTATTTTTTTAATAACAATGAAGCAGCCTCTTTTCCCTCGGGCTGCCCCACGCCTCACCCAGGCCTCATTTGTTGGTCGTTTGCTGGTCGAGAGATGTGCGGAAACGGGCAGGTCCTAGAAGACGGAAAAAGTCTACTTTTTAAAACTTATACTCTCAAAATTTAAAGTTTTGTGTTTTCCCCAATTTTGAGACCTGCCTGAGGAGCAACTGAGCCCTGGCCTTAGCCTCTTGATCCTCAGCCTGAGCCAGGACTGAAATGAGCCTCGCGAATAACCTCATAAACTACCATTAAATCAGACCTTAGAAAACAATGAAATCAGGCTTTCGCAACCCTGTTTTCATCGTCAGTCTTTGAAATTCGTACCTGGATAATTGACGTTGACGAATGGATGCTCATTTTTAGAATTCTTCTGATTATTATAATCATTTAAACATTAAACATTAAACATTTTGTATTTATTGTACATTGGATCTTAATTGTAAATCTAAATCGAAGAACTGATATAGAAATTTTATGAAGATGACATGTGTGAAATAGACGTGTTAGTTATAATTTTATCGAAATTTTGTCAACATCTGGCGCACTTGACTTGAATTAATTCATCAAGATTTACCCTGAAGTTGATCATGATATAGTCAAGATAAAATTTAACTTAAGCTGGGATTATTTAAAAATTAAATATATAAGACTACACCACCAGCGTAATATCTGATTATGAAAGTTCCTTAGAGTTTTTTTGTCCTTAAAAAATGTTATTTGGTCATCTCCCTCCTTAATGAGCGCGTATGTAGAAAATTGCAGAAAAGGGGTACATCAATACATACATGCAGGCAGCCTCTCAAATTCGCATATTTATGCTTTATAAAGCATATTTAGTTGACAGGATTGAGAAGCTTGTTGAGGTAAATTTGACGAAACGCCAAGTTTTGATTCGAACGAAAAAATACGATCGATAGAACATCTTTACGGTGGCAGAATAGCTAAAAAGGATTTACTACGTTTCACCCCATATTATACCGATTCACCAAATATATAATTTCCCCCGAAACGAAAATCATTCAACACGAATGATTAAAACAACACAAACGATTTCAAGAAAAAAATAATAGATTTTTTATAGAAAAAATCCAGTATTTTCCAGTCGATACAGACGAAATGATTTTAGGCGAATTATCATTCGGTCAAGTAGCAGTTGGTTTATCGGCATTGGGGTATTTGGTGAATTATACAGGTAGCCCAAGAAAAGCATAGAACTATAATATTAGTGCTTTAAGTAGGAAGAGAATCATGTGAAAATTCTTTTTCTTTGGCTCCCGCCCCTTCTGCCCCTGACGGCCCTGTCGCCCCTGCCGCCGAAGGATATCACCCAGAAGCGCAAGTTATCATCCTCTCTCTTCTCTTTTATTAGATGATGTGCGCATACGTGGGCTCCCGCTGGCCAATACTTCTCGGCACCATGTTTGTTTTTCAGTTGTTAAGCACCCAGCGGGCCGCCAGACAGGTTTAAATCAACCTTCTCTCGCTATCTCTCTCACTCGCCCCTGCTGTCTTTCCCTTTTATACAGTCACCTCCTTCCACCCATCTATTGCCTCCTTCAACTTCGCCGTCTCTCTTCACTGGGGGCATGCCACAAGACTCGTTCCTCCGAAGCTAACAAATTGCTTTTTCTCGAACGGACAAATTAGAGAATCCCCTTGGACATTTTGAGGATAGCAATGGAATCCACCTCTGTCGTTGGAGGTTTCTCGCGTTGCCATTTCCAATTTGCCCCTCCAAATTCTAATGCATTTGGCACCTTCAAACTCAAAACCTAGGCATAAACTTAATCCCTCTTCTGGAGTGTCATTTAGTATTTCAATCCGATAAAGTACGCGATTAAAACCGACAATTACTAGGTCACTCTCTCCAAAATCACAATAAGGTTCGGATTCCTATATCACAATGTTTGAAATGGTCATTTGCGAATTTGACATCGTAATGTACGAGGTCGAAATTCATAATTTACATTTTTAATCTCGTTATTTACCTTTCAAAATCATCTCATATACGGGTTCAAACACCGTAATTGGTGTTACATGGAGTCTTCAATTTTTAACGAATATTTAGGTTTCAATTTCAAAAAATTCTTTTTTGAAAATGTTTTTGGATCTTTTGAGACAAGATCTGCAATTTTTCCAATTTCTATACTCCGAGAGTCGAACGATAACTTCCTGAGAGAATAATAAAACTTCCCATTTCACATAATTTTCGAATATCATGTGACCTTAATTTTCTTCTATATAAGCCAATACGTAAATGAAAAAGTTTCAGCCACAGAGTGTAACATTTTTCACAGCATTATTCAATTCAGCTAAAACAGAATGATCTGAAATGGAAAAATTAGCTATTTTCTGAAATCAGAACCAAGTGATTTTTTTTTTACGAAAAAATATATTTTTGTCTAGTAATTATACTTGAAACCTCAGTGAAGTTTTAGTCTTGAAGCAATTTGTTTGCTTTCTAGAGTGTGAGGGACTCCAGAGCTGGAAATCTTAATGCCAATATATTCATATAGATTCAAAAATTTTCTAAAATCGCTATAGCAAATACACAGGATAAATAGAAAATATACAGTATGGACTGACATTAAAATAGAAAAATAATAAATTTACTATGACACTAGGTGTCGAGTGTCATTGAAGTGCGTTTCAAACAGAGAACTGTCTAAGAAACGTTCGAAACGGATTAATGTTGAGTGTTATTTAAACACTAGTAGAAGAGCTTATATATAATGTCCCTTAAGATTTTTTTGAAGGCTTTTTGAAGATTATAAGTGGTGCAATTCATGTAATTTCTGGAAAGAACTTAACGAAATTCAGAAGGACGCTCTCGGCGAAAGTTCTAAATTCTAGCTCAAATCCGTGGGTTAATTTTCGCTGAGATTCGAGCAGTCGAACCTGTTACCATATTGAATTCCACTAGTTCATTTATACAGCAATGCTAGTCCCTGTTCGGTGATCTTCGAAGTGCTTGAAATATATGTTGACCTTCCCGTTATGTATATATATTCTAGAAGTTTCTGAGAAACCGTAAGAAACTATTTGCACCTCTGAAGTCGAGTTAAGTAGAAAAAAACACTTGCAGATCAAAAGAAAGAAATGTGTAAATATTTGAGAATTACATTAATGCATAACGTATTCGCACGATAGGAAGTTGTAAAATGTGTTATTTCAAAATTTCAATGGTCCCGTAAGTAACTCTTCCAACAAAATTTGTATTTATGATTAAAAGATTAAATTAATCTAATAGTTACTTATTTTAATAGGATTTTCGATTATTTCAAATCTAAATCAATAAGAACAACCATTTTTGGTCGGAAGCAAACAGGTTTACTACATTTGACTAAATTGTTCACTCAGTGTAGGAATACGGAGCTATTATTAAAAAATCTTAAACTTACTACTCCTTTTTCCCACCTTGTTGACTGGTCGATAAGGTAGAAAAAAATTTCATAGCCATCAATGTCTATTTGACCTTATGCATGAACAGCAACTTTAAAATTATTTTCTGCTATTACCCTGTTTTCGGGCTGTGTGGTATTTTACACATCGTTGTTCAATAAATTCTTCAATTATGTCATTCATTTTTTAGCAGTCGGGTACAATATAGGGCAAATTCTTTTATATCCTTTCCGTGAAATTTTCAACAAATAGAAGTTCAAGGTCTTAAGGATATCCAAGTACGTTCTTCACGTTAGCAACGTTGTTTCAAATACGTAACTTGAGCAAAACGTTGCCAGACGTCAGGAACTACTGCACAAATCGGGAGTTTTTGACTTTGAATTCTGGATTTAAGGATTTTGAAGGTTTTAATTGAAAATCATAAGTCTTAAAAAAAAACCAAAAGTGAAAGAATGTTCTTGGGGGACGAATTTGCATGGCGCCGAGTTTTGCAGCATTTTCAAATCCAAAGTCGTTACAGGCTACGGGCCCTTACAGGTACACAGTTCTTTGAAAAATTATCTGCAGATTACGTCATTAGTGATTAAAAATATATCAATTTTAAATACTTTTTGCGGGGTTATGACATACAAAATTAGAACCAAAGTGTGAATAAAACAAATCGAGAGAGTTATGTTTCCAAAAATGATTAAAAATGTATGACAAACATATGTTGACGGTAAGAAAGTTTCTCCCGGAAGATGGTTTACAAAAGGTAGACTTACATCGGGTTTTCAGCCATTTTGGAGTAGAATACAGGTAGACTATTTTGTGCAGAGTCCTTTAATATTCAGTAGTTGCTTTAAATTCCTTCTGGACACCACACGAAAATTTAATTCTCTGGGCTTAAATAATGCGATTTTCAAAGACGAATAAAAAATTATTACACACCTTTTCAGGTGCTTCTCGACAAGTATGGGTTCTGGGGAGCATATAT